GAAGTCAATAACCTAACCTATTGTACACCTTCAAACTAAAAAAACTAAAAATTTTAAGATTGGAATAAACATAAACTAAAATTAAGCAAAACATATATCTGAAAACTGAAAAATCGAAAAAAAACTTGAAAAATTGGTTAAATTTATGTAGATCCAAAAAAAAATCAAAATCCTGAGTGTCAAACTCAAACTCAAAATCGTCAAAGTCGAAAATCTAACATAATCGACAACCTCAAACTCAAAAAATCTATAAATTATATAAAAAATATATAAATTAAATCTATAAATATTTGCTTTAATTAGTACGTAGGTACTCTTTGTTTCTTTTAAGGAAAGAAACAGTTTTATTGTAATTAGAACAAAGAAGGTGCAATTGACCATTTTTAAGCAAAAGAAGAGTCTTAAAACAAATACTTTTATAAAAATGCAATTTTAAGTAAGATTAACATGCATTTCTCCTATATGGCGCAATAACTGAACTTCAAAAAATCATATCTTAAAAACTACTCGGTACATTATTTTAAAAATTTGGATTCTTACTAATAAAAAGATGCTCTACACGATGGTGACAAACAAACAAAAATTACTTGTAGGGTTTTTCTTAGATTATTTTGATTTACTTCGAACTTCTTCGAACACTGTTCGAAGAAAAGTTTGCCAATATTCAATTTCAAATTGCATATCATTCTAAAGGGCAAGTCCATCCCTTTAGAATGGTCTTTATTTGAAGGAAATCGGCCTAATAGTTATTGAGTAATGATTTTTTAAAGTTAAAGTATTTTAAATTCATTTAATATTAGAAAAAAATTATTTAGTTCAAAGTGTGTGGACTTTTTGAATTTTTTTTTAGTGCATTTGATTTGTCTTACTGAGACGAACAAAATGATATAAAATTTGTCAAGTTGTCACGACATGACTCTTGTCGCCTTGTGATAATAGGAAATCAAGTTAGACAATCGTATAATCCCATATTTCGAAACATTGCAGAATCAACACAAAACTTTCAATATCGACATTTCCGCAACTTACTAATTATCGTTTGCCGTTTCATGAACCTTAATTCGAGACAAAAACAGAAATTAACTCGCTAAAAAAAGAAAACCATCTCTCTGCTGCTAGTCAGTGTGGTTGATTGACGTCCTAACTTCCCTTGACAATTTATTGATTGATTGCTTGGTGTTAAAACGACGATATGTCAATCCATAAATCCTTCTAGATAAAAACGACTCGTGTTAAACTCACCAGATACCATTGTTCTTTGAAGAGTGGATCGGGAAATTCGCCAGGAGAAGGAGCAGCACGATACCTCAAACGACTATGTGACGAAGAGGGCAAAGCACCCGGTGCTGCAGCACTGAAATACTGCGAAAATGGGGTCACCGAAGGACGAAAAACGTAATCGCGCTTTTTTCGTTTCTTTTCGTGCTGCTGCTGAACCCAATGCACCTGAAACAAACGTTTTACGAAATAAGAAACGGCTGACAGTGATGCAAGAGCCGCAAAAAAATTTCATTTTTCTGGGTTTCACCTCGATTAAGTCATGCGGAAAAGGGCGCTTTCCGAAATCAATAATAATTGTTTAAAAAAACTAAATAGTAATTTGTTAATACAGCTAAAGAAAAGTTGTTCATTATTTGTGAGTGAAGTGGCATTTTAAATAAAAAATTAGAAATGCTTCAATTTAGTTGCTGATTTCTTAATTGTCATAAAAACTGGTATGAAATAAAAAGCAACGAAAATATATTTATAACTAGTAAAAATATAAAATAATTTTGAGAAAGAAAAAGAAAAAAGTCTTGTGGTATATTAATTTTTTCATCAATAAGATAAAAATTGATAATAATAGAGGTGGTTAATAGAAGGTCAGTAATGAAACACTTTCCAACCACCATCAAGGTTAAAAATCAACATTACAAATACGGTTGTAAATAATAGTAGATTACATACAAAGATGAGATGTGGTCAATTGGTTAAAATTTGTAAATTCAAAAAAACTCAAAATCCTGAGTGTTTCAATAATCTCAAATTCAAACTGTCAAGGTAGAAAACCTTAATGTGTTAAAATTTAAAAAAATTCAAAATTAGAAGTCGAAAATCTATAAAAACCAAAAAATTTGAATAAACAGAAGCTCAAATTGCTTAACCTTAATGTGTTAAAATTTAAAAAAATTCAAAATTAGAAGTCGAAAATCTATAAAAACCGAAAAATTTGAATAAACAGAAGCTCAAATTGCTGAAAAATTGAGCAAAACTGAAAAATCGAAACAAATTTTAAAAACCGATTAGGTAATCTACAACCTCAAAGGCAAAAAACCGTAAAAAACTGAGCAAAACTCAAAAAACTATAAAAAAGTGAAAGATTGGAATAAACACAAACTTAAATTAAGCAAAACAAATATCTGAAAATTGGTTATGTAAATTTAAAAAAAAACCTCAAAATCCTGAGTTTTTAAATAATCTTAAACTCAAAACTATCAAAGTAGAAAACTTTAATGTGTTAAAATTTAGAAAATTTTAAAATTAGAAGTCGAAAATCCAACATAATCGACGACCTCAAATTCAAAAATCTAAGAAAAAAAAACAAAAATTTGAATAAACACAAGCTCAAATTGCTAGAAAATTGAGCGAAACTGAAAAATCGAAGCAAATTCTAAAAACCTCAAATCTACAACCTCAGGCAAAAAAACATAAAAAACTGAGCATAACAAATATCTAAAAATTAAAAAGTCTAAACAAACACAAAGTTGCAAAATTCAAGTAAATTTCACCTCAAAAAGCTCAAAATCAATAGTTTTTAAATAAACCTAAACTCAAAATCGTGAAAGTAGTAAACTTGAATGTACTAAAATTTAGAAAAATTAAAAGTTAGAATTAGAATAGTAGATTACATACCAAGATGAGATGTGGTCAATTCGAAATTTGATTCGTTTAGCAATAAGCCTAGGTTCGATAAAGAAACAATCACCAAGGTTTGTATACTATTTTATTCCTTCAAAAAATATGACATACGACAGTTTAGGCTGAAATGTATATTTCATCCAAATTGTTGAAATGTGATACTTTCCAACTTTTCACGTGACTATTACTTTATTATTGTGAATAAAAACCGTTTATTAATTCGGATCGTAGAGTAAGTTACTTTATGTAGGGCCCAAAATACAAAAACAATAAGAAAAAAAAATTTTAATAAAAAATATTATTACCAAAATATAGACACTTAGCAATTTTCAGTAATATTAAACAGTTCATTGATTTTTTATTAACAATCAAAGATTCAACGCAATTTTTCTCAAACTGTAGTTTTCGTTGGGAGAGTCGATATGACAGTTTAGGCTGGGAAGTGGTCACTTCCCAACCTGAACTGTATATTTCATATCAATTGTTGAGATGTTTCCAAATTTTCACGTGACTATTACTTGTGAATAGAAACCGATTCCTAATTCGGACCCTAGAGTAAGTCATTTTACGTCCCTGTTATTCCACGGCCATCTAGAAAATTCTCGGAAGTGCTTAAAAGCAGAATTTCAAAAAAAAATGTGGAAAATGTTTGATAATAAGTAATAAAGGTAGGTAGTAGAAGGTCAGTAATAGGACACTTTCCAACCATCGTCAAGGTTTGAAATATCAACATTACAAATACGGTTGTGAATAATAGTAGATTACATACCGAGGTGAAAGGTGGTTCATTATGAAATTTGAGGCGCTTAGCAATAAGCCTAAGTACGATGAAGCTACGACTATACTATTTTATTTCTTACAAAAATATGACATATCGACTCTTTCAACGAAAACTATAGTAACTCGTAAAATTTAGTTTTTGAGTACGATGGCTTAGAAAGTGGTCACTTCCCAACCTGAATTGTATATTTAGTATCAATTGTTGAAATGTATCCCGATTTTCACGTAATTATTACTTGTGAATAAAAACCGTTTTCTAATTCAGATCCTAGAGTAAGTCACTTTACGTCCCTGTTATTCCACGGCCATCTAGAAAATTCCCGGAAGTGCTTAAAA